GTAAACATCACTGTATAACACTGTGAGACTTTATCAATACAAAATTTACCCATAATGGAATTACACTCTACCACAGTGCCCAAGCTTTATTCTTATATCAATAGACACCAAAGACAAATGACCTTGATTTGACCATTCAGATAGCTCAGCATTACAAACGACGGCTAGTCATAATCCTCATTGAAAATGTCTCCTAAATTTGGTTTTTGACCTGTCTGTGGAAAATGTGTTGATAGGGTGGTGGAATAAAACATACACATGTTGAGGGATAATGACTCTGAAAGAGTATTACCGGGCTATTTATGGTTATAAATTCAGCTGTAACCACTTTATATGAGGAAGTCTGTATAATTTGGTGAGTGGTACGTAAGTGGTGATTTTTTTTCGACACTTTCTTCTTGAAATCAAAGCTCTCCCTTAGTAATATATTGCGAGTATGCAACTAGTATTTGCTACAGCTGCAGAAATAGAGAATACATTGGTTAAGGAGCGAAAGCTGCACAAGAGGAAACTTACGAAAAGTCTCCGCAAGGACCGTGAACAGTGGTGGTTGACAAAGGCGAAAGAGATGGAAAAAGCATCGGCGATAGGCAACACCAGACAACTATTCAGGCTTATCAGGGAAACAGGTGGTAAAAAACAAATGATAAGCGAAACAATCTCCGAGAAAAGTGGCACCATAATTAGCTCCCAGGATAGACGTCTGGAGCGCTGGAAAGAACACTATGAGGAGCAGTTTAATTGGCCCACAGCCACACTTAACCTACCGGACATCCAACACCTCCCTGAATGGGACATAGACACAGGTCCTCCGTCCTTAACCGAGGTTACTAAAGCTGTCACCAATCTGAAGCTAGGCAAAGCAGCGGGACCTGATTTATTGACTCCAGAGGTATTTAAGTACGGAGGCGACAGTTTACTGTCTGCTTTAACGGAGGTTCTAGGCAGCGTCTGGGAATCAGAGGAAGTCCCATCGGGTTGGTGTAAGTCACTGATCATCCCGATATACAAGAAGGGGGACAAGTCGTCTTGTGATAATCACAGAGGGATTAGCTTGACTAATATAGTATCCAAAATCCTAGGCTCAATAATACTGCGTAGACTAAGTGGTGCTCGGGAGACACAAACACGAGAAAACCAGGCAGGTTTTAGGCCAGGTAGAGGGTGTATTGATCACATCTTCACCCTTCGACAGATTCTAGAACATAGGCATTCCTACCGGCGTCCGACAATCATTATATTTCTTGACCTAAAGGCGGCATACGATTCTGTCGACCGGGAGGTTCTCTGGCGTTGCTTGGCTGTAAAGGGAATGCCAAGAAAATACATTGCACTGATTAAGGCACTCTACTCGTACTCATGCAGCCAGCTGAGGGCTTATGGCGAGTTGTCATCTGAAGTGGTGACGACTAGTGGCGTCCGTCAAGGATGCCCATTATCCCCATTCCTATTCAATTTCATCATAGATGTACTAATGGACTTAACCCTAACTCACTTCAGCGACTCAGGGATTGACTTGCTACCAGGGAAGAATCTCGTTGACTTAGAATATGCGGACGATATAGTCCTTCTAGGCGAGGACTCTGACAAAATGCAGAGTCTACTGAACACCCTGAGCAACAATCTCCGCATGTTTGGCATGCGATTTGCCCCTATAAAATGTAAATGATGCTGCAGGATTGGACTTCATCGACCCCTAGATTAGAAATAGGAAGTGAAGTGGTAGAACACGTTGACCGCTTCACTTACTTGGGAAGTACCATCAGCCAGTGCCAACGGGTTGATCTCCGACGAAATCTCAGCACGAATACAGAGGGCTAGGTTCGCATTCGCCAGTTTTCGCCGTCTCTGGCGTAGACGCGATATCCGACTATCGACCAAAGGGCGTGTGTACTGCTCAACAGTCCGCTCCTTCCTCCTTTATGGCTGTGAGACCTGGCCATTGAGAGCAGAAGACATGAAAAGATTAGCTGTCTTCGATCATAGGTGTCTGCGTTCTATCTCCCGTGTGAAGTGGTATAATAAGGTGAGCAATATTGAGGTTAGGCGTCGAGTGCTAGGTAAGGCGGGGAAATCAATCGACGAGACTGTGAAATTACTTCGACTGAGATGGTTAGGACATGTGCTACGTATGCCTAGTCATCGCCTTCCTCGACGGGCAATGTTAGCTGATATAGGGTCAGGCTGGAAAAGAGCTAGCGGCGGTCAAACCAAAACATGGCACCAATCAATGAAATCCACAACAGTTAATCTAAGCCACGTAGGAAGATGTAGACTTCCTGGTTGGGGCCCTCGGGATGGTAAAAACCAATGGTTGGAAACAATTAGTGACATGGCTCAAAATCATCGTTCTCAATGGCTAGCGCAGATGCATCCACTCCTTGTGACTTATGATTTCCAATTAAACTGTTTTGTTCTCCGTTATTACTATTCCTTTGTCTCACACCTCTGTTTACTGTCTATATTTGGGCATTTCTTCTACTTTCTTCTCTTGCTTTGCGTGCTACACAGATTGTGGCGACTTGAACTGCCGCACATATGTGCAAAGTTCTATGTCGAAAACCGACCGACCGACCGACCGACATTGGTTAAGGAGATTTTCATCATGAGCTGACATTAGTTAGGGGACCATTGGAAAACCTGGGAGTACTGGACAGCTATTTCGTCCACCTAGTTTGGGACTCATCAACAGTACGCACCCACCGGGACTCGAACCCAGGACCTTCTGGTTACAAGGCGAGGTCGTATACCATTAAGCCACTGGGACCCGACCTGATGGTGCATGAATTCTAACCCAGAAGGTCCTGGGTTCGAATCCCGGTGGGCGCGTTCTGATGGAGAGTCCCAAACTAGGACGAAACAGCTGTCCAGTCCTCCCAGGTTTTCCAATGGTTCTCTAACTAATGTCAGCTCATGATGAAAATCCCGTAACCAATCAAATCCCTACAAACCAACACTTGAAGAGAATACATTGGTTTGATATGTCTATAGCCACTTCTATGAGAATCTGGGACCAGTTTCTGCAGCATACTAAAGATATGTACCCCAGTTGATTCATTTTTATTACATATATTTCATAGATACACTTTTTAAATTAGGTACCACTTTTCACCAAGAAAAATCTGATTGGTTGTTTCAAGGTCGTCTGAAGTTAGTGTCTATTCTTAACTGATATATGAGTTAACATAATCTTGAAGGACTATCAATGTCTCACTTGGGGATTTGGATCTCCATGAATGAATACACTGACGAAGG